CGCGGATCGCTCTTATTGCCTTCCTGATTGGAGGCGGAGACAGCGACAAGGCCGCTCTCCAAAAATCCCATCGTGCTGGCTCGAAAATGCTTTCATATTTTTCACACGCGGCTCGGATGCTTGATTGATTTGCTCTGTCTGCAACGCCTGTGAAATGTTTCATAAGAATGAGAGTCTCGCACCTCTTGTTGTTCCTCAACTCAACTGTATTTCTCGAGACACCAAATGAATATGGGAGACGGTCGAAAGCACAAATGTAGTCAAACTAAAAATGGAGTTTCAGGCGGAGTCCAAAGCCAAGGAACAAAAATGAGTTTGAAGACGAGTTTTTTTTTTTTTTTTTTTTTTTTTTAAGATGGGCAGCGAGGGGGCTTGCCAAACATTCATTCCAAAGAGAGGGAGCGGCCACGGAAAAGGCTCCATCCCCTGGGAGCCCCCGCTTAGTACCGCTCATCGTGTCTGCTCCGCAGACCTGAGGCACCGGGGTAGGAAGGTGCGCCCAGTTCATTTCTAAAATGTAGAGGGAGCCAGTGAAGGGATGGCGGAGTGATGTGCTCCCTCTTACGGGGAGCCAGTCAAATGGCGAGCGGCGGCATTTCGGACCAACTGGAGACACTTCATGGAGGATTGGCTGACTCCAAAGTCAAGTGCGCCTCAGTCATTCGTAAACTGTTTTGATCACGACCCACGTCAAATCACAATGCATGCTTTCAAAATTGCCCCTATGGGAAGATGCTTCTTCATTGTTGCTGTGAGGCCCAAGTTGCGTAAAGTGGCCCCAGAATCAACTTTGGTCTTTATTCAGTTTTGCATGTCGGAATGATGCATCCATAAAATATTTGTGACACCAAAATCCGGAGCGAAAATGACGATCAAAGCCAAAGTTGAAATGCAATCAGGAAATATCACCGAGTGACCCTGCTTTGCCACGCCTCGGCGGTCTCGCCGACTTGCTGTGGGGAGCCAACCTCCGCCCTGGGAAGAGGGATGAAAGAGAAAGCGCAACAAGAAACGTGACACAGTTTTGGGGCACAGCGTTAGTTTCCTTCATCGCAGAAATCATAAGACCCAGTGGAATTTCTCCCAAACGTTTTGTCTTGAGCCTCCGACTTGAATTTGTTCGTAGAGTCCTGTGGGAGGTTAACCGATTTGCCAACAAAGCAAGCAAGAGGAAGGGGAAAGAAAAGCCCCGCTGCAGGCTCGAGCACAGCTTCAATCAACAGCCCGGGAGCTCGTTGACATGCAGGGTGTCGAGGTCCTCGCAAAGTTTTTCAACTTTTCTCTCCGACCGCTTCCTTTTTTTACCAGCGGCATTTTCATATAACATGCCTAACTTCCTTCTTCTTTGTCCGTCCTTTCTCTTAATCTCAAAACACAGGCCTCAGGTTTGAAAGACCCGCTGTCCTTAAATGCGGTTTTGCCGGTGCGCCCGGCTAACGCACCGGAGCCACCACGTGCTCGCCGCACCGTTGACTGGGATTCACTTCTATCCCGCCAGCCAAAGGCTGAACGGTGACCAGTTCGGTGTTGTGCTTCCTGCGTGCCCGAGATAAACCCCGACGCGTCCGGGGCTCGTCACAGCAAATACGACGTCGGCGGCGCCGGCGGAAGCTTGTTACGCTGGGCAAGAATACCGCGCCCGCCGAGCCACTCCCATTCCCCGGCGTATTAGTTTGAAGTGACCAGCCTGATGACAGGCTGCGGTGAACGCACTGCTCAAATTCTTGACACGCTGGTTTCATATATATATATATATATATATAATATGTATATCGCTGAGGCATGGGCTCTTCAATTTGATGAGAAGTTAAGAGTAGTTTCTAGTGGAGCACTTGCGCTTCTCAGCTCGCATGCTAAATTGCCTTTTTGGAACGTCAGTCAGCGGGGTGGGTCACCTTGATGCTTTTCCCTCAACCGCTAAGCTTTTTCCTCCCTTAAATGGACTTCAAGGCCATTTGACGTTTTGCCTGATGAAAAATTGACAGGCAAAGTGGCACAGAAAGCACTTAGAAATAATTCCAACGCAAGTGGATTGTTCCCCCACCCACCTCCCTTTAAAATAGTTAAATATAATTGATGAACTCGTAAACGTATTCACATCGTGCAATCCCTCGTTTTACCAGGAACCCTCTGCGAAAGGTGAAAACCACGAGGTAGGATTTGACCCCCCCCCGGAATTGCCATGTATGTGCATGTTTGAGATACGGAAACAGTATTTATACTTGACATATTTCCACATATTTACTTGAATCTGGAATGAGAAAAGCCTCTACAGTACAGTCATTAAAATTCCTCAACATTGCCCCCAGAGATAGGCGATGGGGCTTGTGTCGGCGGCGTCGAAGGCGGCTCTCGCTTGGCTTTCGCTTCACTCGGGACTCTTCTGCTAGAGACGCTGACGGTGAAGCTGAGGTTTTTAAACTACAGAAAAACATGGCGATGGCTCGCGCTATGGCGTTCTTCTTGTCTTCTTTTTAGTTGAAATAGGTTGAATAGGTTTCTTTTTTTTTTAATCAGACCATGGTGTTGTTTTTTTTTTTTTTTGTTTTTTTTAGCTTACCAAGCTGACAGTTTGGACAGTCACTCCATCCTTTGTCTGAGCTGTCGCCGCTTCCTTGTGACGTGTCTCAAAAAACAGCCTACCGGCTGGAAAACCTTCCAAATAAGGCTCTCAGAACCCGGTGAGTGGCTGCGAACCAACTCCCCGCCGCCGGCATCGTAGCAACATGCCCCTGTCGATGGTGCCATGTCCAGAACAGAAGAGTCACGCACAAAGCCCTCCGAGTCACGCCAGCTCCTTGTTCGCCATGCGGGGAAAGCTCTCTCACGCATCCATATAACACAACGCGTCTTTCCGCAATATGGCTGCCGATATGAATTAATTTTTGAAAGAAAAGAAAAAAAAACGCGAAACGCCGAAGCCGCAAAACGTGACACGCGTCGTGGCTCGGGATCGCTGTACTACACGTCTATTTGCCAGAGGAGCTCAAATCCCATGTCGCTCGGCTATATTTGCTAGCATGTCCGCGGCACATTCGAATCCTTGTTCCAGTTGTCGGACGGCAATATATGCGCCATGTATGAACACATGATGAAAATAGAACAAGGATTAACATCTTCCGCACCCTCAATGTACATTAATTCTCTGCACACGTAGATGAAATTATTTTCTATCAGCGTGGCTCCGTGGAAGAACAAATGGGTAAAGCGATGGGCCACAACAGAAATAGTAATTGCTCGTCATTTTAGAATAGCAAAAAAGGCTTTGGTGTTCGTTTGATTCATTGCAGCAAGCGTGCTGCCTTTTGCCAGAGCCGACGTGCATGTTGAATGAAGTCAACGTCAAAATGAGACCGAAGAGCGGCGGTGCTCTTTGAATGCTTGCTTTGTTAATCTCATTCTACATGGGAGCGATGCCCAAACGGGAGGCGCAGGTTGCTGCGGAGGTTTGGTCTTCGTGGAAGAGAAAAAAAAAAAAAAAAAAAGAAAGAAAAAAAGAAAACCATTCACTTCTGAACATTGAATGCTTTTTTTTTTAATGTGGCACTGCAAGTACGTTGCAGGAAATATCAACATTCTGGTGTTGTTTGCACGGTGCCGCAGACATGAATGACATTTGAAAAATCAAAACTACTTTGTGTACCCGCTGTAAAAATGATATGACGTACGAGGACCGATTTTGTGGGCACCAACTGTTTTCTCCTGGCATGTCAAGCACATTGGTATTGTACTGGATGCTCGGCAAATAAATGGCGGTTTGTTTTTCTTTCCTGGCCGTGAGTTTCGCTGTCCGCTTTTAGCGGTGAAGTTGGAAAACGGCATTTTTGTGTCATCTAGGCTCCTCAAGCTGCCAAAGTGTATTTTGACTCGCAGCAGTGAACTGGGTGACTCAGCAACAAGCTACCGCTATGTATGGTGGCGTGTTGATCCAGCTAAAACACAGACTGAAAGGAGGGGGGGGGGGGGCGTTGGGGGAGTCCGTTTTTTCTTTGTATACCGCCGGCCTCCCGTACACAACGAATGGGTTGATCAACTCGGCGCTATGCTGCGGGAAGTGAACCGTGGCTTATGAGCATACGCCTATTCAGAGAAGGCCCAATCTCCTCTCGCCTCCCAAATGGCTCTCACCGTTGGGGGACCATAAATCAGCAACCGGCAGCGCGGATGGAGGGCTCTCTCTCCCTTGCTGTACATTCACTGCAAATTGCTTGAGCTTCGAAAGCGAGTACTAGATTTGAAAATACGCCATCAAACTACGTGCGGGCAGCGCGGCGGTCGACCGCTAAGCACGTCCGCCTCACAGTGCAGAGGTGCGGGGTTGGATTCCGGCTCCGGCTCTCCTGTGTGGAGTAGGCATGTTCTCCCCGCGCCTGCCTGCGTGGCTTTTCTCCGGGTACTCCGGTTCCCTCCCACATTCCGAAAACATGCAGCGCAGGTTAATGGAACACTCCAAATCAGGGGCGCCCCACCTTTTTTGACCAAAGATCTACTTTTCAAGGAACCAAAGTCCCGCAATTGACCCGTTGCCACACGTGTACGCATACACACGCCCGCACGCACGCACGCCATGATGAGCGGCTGCCATAACGGCCCGACTTGGAAATGCATGTTGCCCTCAAGGGCACCGTTAGCATATGCGCTGCCTGACTTGACACTGACTGACTCTTGCAGATGCGCACCAGTGAGTCATGTGCTATTCATAATACAACACTGCGTGACTAACTTTCAGACCAGGTGCTTACGAGCAAAATGTTGGCTTCCGTTTCCTCATTTGCTAAAGCGACCCTGAAAACCATTGCATTTTGATTTGGGTTCGCTTCTGTCAAATGTCCTTGAGCAAGTCGCTTGATCCTCTTCATGCTCCGCGACTGCTTTGCGATGAGCCGTTGACTTTCTTTCCGGGGCAACGTCCACTGTCGGTGTCAAACCAATGCCTTCATCGCTAACTCTCTTCCTCACAAATTTGAATCCACTTCTTCTCCTATTTTTGTGCACCTCAGAGATTTCCGGGAACTCGGAGGACATCCCTTTGGTGCGATGGAGGCAGCAGTGGCTGGAGAACGGTACTTTGCTCTTTCACATTCACCACCAGGATGGCAGCCTAAGCCTCCCTGAACCAACTGAAGATCCAGCCAACACTTCTGCCAAGGAGGAGCTCCGCATCCTGCATATCTCAGTCATGGTAACGCTCTTTTTTTTTTTATTGCTTTTGGACTGATTGGGATCTTCCGTTACAAGTGAAAACCATCGAGCAGTACATCTTAGTTCGGCCCATTGATTTGGTTGCTTGATATCGTCCAGGGGTGTCCAAACGTTTCCGTTTGAGCGCCGCCTACGGAAAAATGGAAGGATGAAAGGGCCACTTTGAAATTGGTCAACTTTTTGAAACACCCTCGTTCATTTCATCAGCGTTCTGTTCAAGGTGTCAAGGCAAAAAGCAAATGACGTTTAAGTACGTCATGGGTAGGCGGTCGCAGTGGCTTTTCTTGTCGTATCGATCACGTTCTGGGGAATAAAAAAGTTCAGTGTTCCGTCAAGCGCGGTGTTCCAGCTGCAGCTGTTTTGAGAGCCATGTATTGATAAAGGCGCATGATGAAAAAGGGATGGCGGGCTGCCAATGGCGTCCGGGCCATCGCTCGGACGCCCCTGCTCTCCATGTTTCTGTAGGAGTCTTCATACGCCTCGAACAGAGCAAACGTATTCCAACGCCGGAAGGACTCAAAAGCCAGTCCCCGACACGGAGAGACGAACGGACGGACAGACGGAGCGATATTAAGCCAAGGCTTTTGCATTGTGTGGGGCAGGTGTGAGCTTCAGCGAAAAGACCCATGAAACAGCCTTTGCGGGAGATTTTTTAATCCGCAAGAAGCTTTAGCACAAGATGAATTGGGATTTAGAGGTCAGGGCCTCCAGTCGGGCGGCACGCTGCCGAGGGTTCCGGCCGGCAAAAGCGCGTCGCTGCCATCTGTTGTCATGGCCTGCTCTTATTTGCGGCCTAATCCTCCTCTACCCGCGCCTTGATGAAAACACCCCGCCGGCAGCGTGATAGGTGGTTCCGGGTGAGGAATGACCAGAGCCCGGGGGCAGAAAAGCACAGGCCCGAGGTCAGCGGAATGTCGACAGTCAAAAGGGAGAGGAGTCCAAAGCCGGGAAACATGGAAGAAGCCCACTCACCACCCAAGGACCTGAAATTCAACATGCGACAGTCAAAAGGGAGAGGAGTCCAAAGCCGGGAACGCGGGAAAATCCAACATCGAAAAAGCCCACTCGCCACCCAAGGTCCCGAAATTCAACAGAAAACTTTTGTCGCCGTTGACGTTTATGAAGTTGTTCACCTTGCAAAACATCCCGGGGATAGTCCGAGTCAGGTGTTTACCTCAAGGTCAACGCATGTCAAAGCATGACTCCTTGCTTCTCTTCGGGAGACGCGGCCCCTGGCGAAATTCCCTTTAAGCTGACTAATCATTTTTACATGCCGCTGTAATATGCTTTCAATCCAGATCATCCATCAAAGCGCCACAACCGCGTCTTTGGACTGGCAAAGGGCGTCGGGACGAGATGTGGCATATCTCAGATCCAATAAATATGCATTTCCTCGGGCAAGATCAGAAAGCGCCGCCATCTCAGGATTCATTTTGGACGGTGTCGGCATATCAGATAAGGTTGAATACATAGCAGGGCGGCAAAAGCGACATTTTCAACGATATGACGTATGTTTACATTGACGCATTGCTCCGACAGAAAGGGAGAACAAATACTACACGGTCAGAGGTTGATATAAAAGAAGATCAAATACAGTGCTCTCATTTTTTTTGGGGGGGGGGGGGGGTTGACCGTCCCACGCGACATGTGGTGCAACTTCACGTTTTGTGGCAGGTGGCAAAACAGCAGGATAGACTTCGCACCATGCGCCCAAAATGTGATCCAACAGAACTCAGGCCCTGGGAACATAAGGGTTTTTTTTTCTGCTTTGACTTTGATATTATATAGATAAGCAACAAATAAATATCGACTGCAGGCAGCAAACGGCGTGCAGCACAGAACCCACAGCTCAAGGTCCAGTGGGAAATCACTTGGACCTATTTGCTCCTTACCGTATGCTGAAAGCAAATAGGCACACATTTCTTGAAGAAGGACGACGTAGTCTTTCATTTCAAGCAGCTTCTGCGGCACCCGAGCGTCATTTGGGCAAGAGCGGCAAGGCGAACATGTCACCCCCACGGCTTCGAATGGACATTTGGACACGGATCTCCTGATTGGGCAGCGGACATGCCAGTCACAAGCGCGCCCAACTTCAATCAAAGGTGAAAATTGAATGACAACTGTAAAGGGACAAGCGAGTACTCACAACTGAGTTACTTGGAGTGAGTTTTTAATTCCTAGGCCCGCTTCTACCGCGACAGCATGAAGTTCGGTCACAAACGATATGCCTACAATCCCAAAAGGGATTTTTGGAAGGTTTATTTTTATTGGGTGTGTGTGTGTATGGGGCGTGGGGTTCATTTAAATTAGCCAGGCTTGTTAAGAACACACCAAATTTATCAGACATTTTTATTTTCACTTGACAGGTAAAACGTCACAAATTGCTCCCTAAATCCAATAGAGTAGCGGCGTCGCCATCTGCTGTGTTCCAAGAATCAAATGTGGGCAGCCTGCTCATTTGTTTCCATCTGCTTTTCAATGTCCCTCTATTAAACACATGGATACGGATGGTATTTTGAAATTGGTGCGGGAGAAAAGCAGAAATCAACTCCAAGTGCATCCGCGATGGGTCTCGATTTCAAAGGATGAGGTTGTGAAGTGCCGTGCTTACGAACGCTCGTCCAGCCGTGATCCGTGCCGTACGTCGAGCCTCATTAGGGCGTGCTGGAAGCGATCTCTGATGGCTTCTGGCAAATGGCGGGCGACGCTGTAGTCGTCAAATGACAAACGTTGCCGAACGGGTAGGATTTCGGTGTCTTTGAACAGCTCTCATGGCTACTCGGGGTAGCTCCCTTCTTCGACTGGCTGCCAACGCCACCCCCGTTCCGCTTGTGACCTACTTGCACAAAGTTATCGATCCATTTCTCGCAGACCTGCTTTGCGGCTGAATTGGCACCGAGGTCATCGAAGCAGGTGTCTGGAGTCTGCTGCTTTACGCTCCAGTTGCGAGAAGGCCGCAAAGCAGCGAGGTCACGTCGGTGCATTTTATACGCGGCTTCAATAGAACACCGTGTTCCCTGTGGCTTTTGGAGACATTCAAGTGCAGCCAACATACAAAGTTGTGCGGGAAAAAGAGAAGGCAAATCAATGAGAGACTTTTCAGAACACCGTGCGCCTCTTGGGCTTATTTGTGCAAGGAAAAAAAATGTGCCGCGAAACAAGCAGGAGTCCTTTTATAACATTCTCCTTCAGCGATATCAACCGTAATCGTCACTTGAAGAGGGAACTGAAACGACACGCTAAACAAAGCAAATATTTCTTTGTTTGGTCAAGAACAAAATACCGCAATGCCTCGTTTTTCTCGGTTAATGGAGAAATGGAGAGCAGAACCACCCCACCCCACCCTCCCAAGTGGCCTTTCCATGCTCTCACAGCATTGGGACGCATTGCCTCAAGGGGCAAATTGTGACGTTGCGCAGCCAATGAGCTCACGGGATAAAGTCACTCGTGCTCTCATTGTTCGATGTCTCGCCTTGTTTGTGTGTAAAGTTTCAACAAAAACTGACCCCCCCCCCCAAAAAAAAAAAAAAACGCGAAACACTGAAGCCGCAAAACTTGAAGCGCAAAGTGGTGATGGATCACTATCATTGCAACTGCACAAGAGCAGACACGAAGAAGAAACCGACACGAAGAATTTCAACACTCAAGCCGCAAAACTTGAAGCGCAAAGTGGCGCTGGATCACTGTCGTTGCAACTACGCAAGAGCAGACACGAAGAAGAAACCGACACTAAGAATTTCTATTTTTGTCACATTTTCAGGAAACGGCATTAAAACTCGCCCTGTGGCCGTGGCCGTTTCCAAGTATCGCTCCCGCCTCCCTCTCCTTACGGCTTGTTCGAGCCGAACGCATGCACGAGCGTGCACGCCCACGCACGCACGCACGGCGTTAATAAGCATCCTTTCACATGAAAGGAAGGGTCATTGTGACCGGCTCCGCTCGTGCGATATTGATATTGATGTTGTGATGCTCCTCAAAGCGTCGTGGATAGCATCGATCGCGTAAACCTTAAATCGATGTGACCCCGGACTCTTGTAAAAGCAGTAGCCCGAATCCGTTCTGCCAGAGCAGCTCCGTTTTCTTTTTTTTTTTAAAAAGCCATCCGACCGAGACGCGGCCTCTCCCACCGGCCGTGAGTGCGGCTGACAGCCTCAAAGTTTTTGTTTTTTAAATCGCTTTGCTGCCTTTGCGCTGCAGACATCACCCCACTATGTCATTACTAAAATAGGAATGACCTCATCCAGAGAAATTCAGATTTGATTTTGTTTTCAGGGGTGGACGTGATTGCAATTGCTTGGGCCGAAGAAGACATTTCGATTTAGATAAATGTGCAGCCAATCCGGGAACCTTTTCATGGAGGACTTTTCCTCCTGGGCACCCTGTAAATGGGCGACATTATGACGATGATTTTTTTTTTTTTTTTTGCCTTATTGAAAAAGGCTGTTTCAATAAAAGTTACGTGGCATACTTTCCACAACATATACGCCAAGAGTCCATCATAACAGGACACAGGTGCACCCGTTTTCACCCCTACATTCTTGAGACAGAATAGGAAAAGAAGAGAGCCACGGGACTTAGTTGGTTCCCATTCATTTGGCTTTCCTGGGAATGTTCTCCATGTGGGCCAGAAACAAACCAACATCAATTCAATTCAAACCGTGTGTCAGAGAACAGAGAAAATGACACGAGAGAAGGGACCTACGATCCGCTGCGTTAGGTTTTAAGCAGCCCGCTGTCCGAGGGAGCAGCCCATACATCCAACTTGCTCCGGAGATGACAGCGTCTGTGCTTGGTTGGCTGCTTTGGTGTCCTTTTCCAAATGTGAAACGTCTCACGCTGGCCACAGACTGACCGAGAGAAGATGAATACTTCAGCTGAATGCAATTTATTCGAAAGAAGCCACTGAAAGAATTACCCCCCCCCCCCCAAAAAAAACATGCATTTTTGTCATTTAGTCACAAAATGTAAAAGAAAATAGGTTTCTGAAAAAGATTCATTGTTTTGGAGATATATAGTGTTCAGCTCGACGAGCGGCTCTTTTCAGGAGTGCGTATTCAAACATCCTCCTCGCCCTGTTCGGTATGATGGGGCGGCAGCCGAGGCGGAGCTTGATGCGCGCTTGACTTTTAGCGGCTCCATTGGAGGATACAAACCACTGAGTCTTGCCGTTGATTTCAAGTCATTTCAGACAAGCACTTTTGTATTTTCCCCACATCACCTTTGTATGCATGAATGCTGCTTTTGGCCGATGGGCCTGAATCGTTTCACTTTAAATTTGGAACCATTCGGATCTCAATTCCGTCTTAGTCGCGGATGACTGGAACATTGACTTTGTCCGCGTTGATCTACTGGATGTTGAAAAGTGTGCCCCCACATGTACACACACTGCAGTCTGGCCTGGTGGTGGGGCTGTGTCATGATTCCGTTTTTGTTTCGATTAGCTTTGGCTTTTGTTTCACACTTGACTGTCATGGTTCTGGTCCTTTTGTGACTAACGGGTGGTGTCGGAGGGCTTCTCCTCCAGCGTCACACCTCTTGGTCATCATGTCGTGAGTTCTGTTCCGGTCAAAAGATGCCAATACCACGTTGCCGTCTGTAATATTTCCTGTCTTTTAACGTGTTCATTGCCGTTCGGGTTTGTGTGTGACAGACGCACGGGACAAGTCAGAAAGTCGGAACAAACATTCAGTTCCCAATGAAAGGACGATTCCGTGTTTTACAATCGCCTCTGGTGTCGTTGCTTTGACCTTGATTGTCAACGTTCTCGAAATTTTTCTCGCTTGGCCTTGGCTTTGATCCTCTGTCCTCGGTCTCTTCTTTGGTCTGCCCCCCCGCGCCCCCCCCCCCCCAACTCCCTCAGGGTGGGATGATTGCCCTTCTGCTGTCCATCCTGTGTCTGGTCCTCATCCTCTACACCCGCCGACGCTGGTGCAAACGCCGCCGGATCCCCCAGCCTCAGAAGAGCGCCAGCGCCGAGGCGGCCAATGAGATCCATTACATCCCCTCGGTGCTGATGGGAGGCCAGGCCCGAGAGAGCTTGAGGAACTCCCGGGGCCAGGGGCCAAACTCCAGCGGGACCCTCAGCATCCGAGAGACTCCAATTCTGGATGGGTACAAGTAGGGCTCGGATGCATGGCGGGAGGTTGAACATTGTGTACATGTCATAGACACACGTCGATAAAAAGATGACATCATGGTCACTGTGTATCATAAGTGAAGTTCAAAAAGTGATTCCCATGTATGTCATGCGAAATGATTCAACGCTCATTGAATGCTATGGCTATCGCTAGGTACGAGTATGACATCACGGACCTGCGTCACCATCTGCAGCGAGAGTGCATGAATGGAGGTGAGGAATTTGCAAGTCAAGTCGGCCGCACCCTGGATTCCCTGCAGGGCTGCAATGACAAGAATAATATGGACCTGACTCCGGGTACGTTGAGCAAAATTGGCGAAACAAAAACAGATACCGAGTCCCCTTGTGTGTGTGTGTGTGTGTGTGTGTGTGTGTGTGTGTGTGTGTGTGTGTGTGTGTGTGTGTGTTTGTGTGTGTGTGTATACTGTGCATACATGAGATTTTTCCTCTCTTTTAATGAATGATTTTTAGTATCCTAGAGAAAATAAATATATATTCTTCTATGCTGTGTATTTTTTTTCAGTGTTTGTATTTCTTTCCTCCATAGTGAGTGAAAACAAGCTGGCCCTAATGAACAAATATAAAGACAATATCATTGCCACCAGTCCAATCGACAGTAACCACCAGCAGAACACCTTGCTTCCACACAACACCTCAACCAGCCAGCGCAAACGTCTCTCCAGCAACAATCGCAGTGAGTCACTCTCTCCCACTGATTGCCCCTTTTGACAGAGAGAAGAAAATATCTTCCTTTTTTTTCTCCACACCTTTCTCCCACAAGCTGTTTTCACTGCTTTGTTGTTTAATCGCACTGAGCCGCTGTAGAAGTCTGTGTAGGTTTTGTAAAAATAAGAATAGAATTTAGATCTACACAGTATCCAGTCCCATGCAAAAACTACATTGGCCCAGCAGTAGCTTTGTTGTTACCGGGAGGCATATTATGAGAGCAGTGTTTACCAATCACACTACTCCCGGCCTCCTCATACGATGTCTGTGACATGCTTTTGTCAAAATAACCCAAGGCTCATGAATTATAGCAGGAAAATAAATGAACCAGGGAAGGAAAATAAATCATCTCGGGAAAGAAAATAAAATCTCTTTAGACCATTCAAGTCACTGAATGTTGACTTATCTCAGGTCAAATTACTTGTTTTGCATTTGATGATGTTTTTTTTTTAATTACCATTTTTGCCTGCATGCTGGTAAATTGGATTAGAAACAAAAAAAAAAATACGCAACCTCTCTCCATGAAACGTTGGGGTGGGGTGAGCAATTTGTGTGTGTGTGTGCGCGTCTGTGTATATGTGTGTGTGTATATATATATATATATATATATATATGTGTGTGTGTATATATATATATATATAGAGAGAGAGAGAGAGAGAAAGAGAGAGAGAGAGATATGAGTCTCAGTTGAGATGAATCAAATCTGGATATTGCACACTGGATACCTAAACTACAGTACGTTGAGAAATAACCCACACAAAGAATAAAATCCAAATGGACAAAATAAAACATTCTCATTTGGAATCGTTCATCTTCAGACAATAATTCTTTGACAGGAAAGGAGCTTCTTCATCTCTCGCCTTTTACAGTGTATCTTGCTGTCGCGCTCCTTCTTCAAGCCTTTGCACCTAGTTGCCACTGGAAGATTTATTTGCTTTGCTTAGGCGTGCTCAGTTTCAAACCTCATGGTGCAAAACAATGTTTCAAGCTCACTTATTTATTTTTGTTCGCAAGATAATAGCTCTCCCAGGCTCTTGCAATGAGCCAACTCTTCTTGGCTCCCGAAGGTTCTTTTGCAAACCCTGTCTCGCAAAAGCAATGTAAGAGAGATGAAGTCTTTGTGAAAAGAACGATCTGCCTCAGTGACCATTAAAAGTGCCGCACTGTGCGCTAATAGTTTTTGCTTTCCTGGTGTTTAGAAATAGCAATATACTTCGCCCTAGCAACCCTCACATACTGTTATGTCAAAATGACTTGGTGACATGACGTAAAGTTGAAGTCTATGCGGTCGGTCGTTTGCATGCGATGGCTTTTGAAAGGCCAAAGCGTGCAGAAGCGAGCCCATATGAGTTGTTGGAGCCTATCCCCTCTGACTATGGGCAGAAGGCGGACGACACCTTGAACTGGTCTCCAGTCACTCGCAGGGCCCATGTAGGGACAAACCATTCACACCCACATCCACAACGTCACTGAGCAGGAACCGAAGACACGCTGCCCGCACACGAGTCAGGCGAGTGGACCACTACGCCATCATCATATCTTGTGTAAAAGAAAGTGATCAAGCTGCACACATGAAAATAGTCACATTGGATCTACTGTCAGTTTCTTGTTTCCTTTGGATCGCCTCCGGTTTAATCAAAACTTCTTGGATGTTATTTTTTTAAGCTCTTGTCACGAGGCATTGTGATCTTGACTTTTATTTGCCTTCACATTTATCTCGCTGAGACAGCAAATCATTGCTACTTTGAAAGAGCCCCCAACCGCCACATAGACACACGCTCACACACGTACACGCACAGGCACCCGCATTGCCAAATGCAATCCGTTAACTCATGTAAGACAAGCCTCAGTACACAGCCTCTAAATAGAGTGAAAGCCTCCTGGTAAAAGGCTCTCGGTTCAATTGTATTATGCAAATACGGAAAGAGCAGTTTGATCATCATAATATACTCTATCAAGTTTATCCTTAAGATTATAGTATCATAGTTAAGCACTAAAGTATTTACTTAGTCCATCATCCTACTTGGAGAGAAAAAGGAAACATTCTCGCCTCAGTATGAACTCCTAATCATCTAAATAGGATTAGAATTGAAAACATAGCTCAGGATTGTGCCCTGGTTTCGCTTGTACTTCTCCTTGGCATTGCAGCATTTTCACAAGGTCATTGTAGTGACATAGGCAGTGAAGTCGGAGAAGGGAAACAAAACAAAACATTTACTAATACAGTTACTATGCGCGACTAGCACCAGACAGCTGTCTGTCTCGCTGTCTAGCTATCTAGCTAGCGACCTATGTAGCTCGCTAGCTAGCTATGTCTATCTTTCTATCTAGCTATCTAATTTGTTTGTATGTATGTGTGTGATTGAGGAAGCATCTGTAATAGTTGGCTGTCAACTGGGCTATTTTTAACCTTTTTTCATTGTCTGTTTTATTTATTTATTTGTTTGTTTGTTTGTGCGTGTGAATCCAACAGCTGGTTCAAATTTCTTGAACCCAGATGGAGACTCTGGCACTGAGGCTGACAGCGAGCCTCAGCTGGCTTTTTACACTGACCCAAACCGCAGTCGACGCCGGAGTCGAGGTATGAGAAATGGTAACGCCAACAGCGCGTGGGGCTCAGGGGGTAAGGAGGACTTACACTTCAATTTCTCTCACCCTTTGATGGTGTCACCTCCGCAACGCATGACAATCAATATTAATGGCGATTGTAGCAGTTTGTCGACGCCGGCGATGGGTTTGCTCATGATTCTGACTTCTTATAGATAAGATCGGTTAAATACATTGCATATGACTGGCGTTCATGCGATGAGACAGAATGTTTCGGCAGTGGTCGTGAGCATGTGCCATTGATATCATTGCATCCGCTGCGTTACACGTTTGTTGAGAGAAATCACATCAGACAAGATCAGTGGTTTCCATGTTGAACATGTTCATGCATCGCATCTTGAGACACCTCATTCTGAAATAATATTACCCGTGAATATTATTTCTATGGAGGCTGGGTTAAAGTGCCGTCAAAGCAGCACGTGCTTATGTGTCTGCATGCCACGTTGGTGCAACTTTGATCATGTACCGTAGCGACGCGTATAAACGGGCTGTAATGAGATGTACAGTACAAAGAAGGCAAAGTAGAAAATAAATAAAAGACAATGCCCTTAAAATAAATTCTGCTGTCAAAACATGTTCCAAGGCTCATGCAACGCCTCCAAGCCAATTATTCCAGCGTAATGTGCACAGGTGTCACAAATATAGCAAAGCTTCTCCATGTGCAGCCAACACCTTTAATTAAAGCTGGGTTTAAGAATAGGAAACTATAATAAACAGCTCGTGGCGCGGATTTTCTTGGATGCTGAAGAAAGACGACAGTATTTTCTCCCATTGAGGTAGGTTGACTTGGAGTCAAAACTTTGAGAGCTCTGTTTTTTGCGGTTGACGCAAAGAGTGGTGTGCGTATGGGTGAAGGTCGTACAGGAGATCGACGTTTATGAGGAACTGCAAAGATAGATGTCAAGTCGGCCACGCCGATCGCTCATCGCCGCTGTTAAATGGGCACTCGGACACCGACTGCCAACCTAATCGTTGGCATTTTGTTCATGTGTTGCGTTTGAATTCAGGTTTGCTGAGTCTTATGTAAGGTCACTTGGGTACCGCATCCAGTGTTGTCAGCGTGGATGAAAAGAGGAAAGCAAAATGGGCGGAGTTTAAGAAAAAAACCCAAAACAAAAACTCTCAACCGTCTTTTAGTTAAAGCCGTGATTTCTTTTTTTTTTAAGCTGCGCATCTCAATTTCCGAAGGTATTTCAGACCCTTGCCTCACCTCTACCTCCCAAAGGCCTGATGGATTCCCGCAATATATTGCTGGCGAGCCGATTGTTTTCTCATTTGTGTAATGAGCGGGTTTATGTTTATGTTGCATGTCTGATGGGATGTGGGAGGATTGAAATGAAATCGACACTTCATACGCCAATGTCTCTCTGTCCCCCGTTCCTTTGTGTGTTTGTTCCCGGCAGCAGGTTCCCCGAGGAGCCCCGTCAATAAGACCACACTGACTCTCATCAGTGTCATCAGCTGCGTGATGAGCCTGGTATACTGCTCTCACATTTCCTGCAGCCTCTCAGTGCGTGTCATCCTCCATGTGCCGGAGCACCTGATTGCTGACGGTGAGGCTTTTCAAAACAGCCCCAAGATCGGGCCCGCATTTACTTCTGCAGCGCTTTCAAATCGTGGGGGGTGGAGAGGTGGGCGGCGGGCAGTGGCGTTGCAGCTGGTGTATTTGTGCAGCTCCCCAGAGTGTTCAATCCAGCGGGTTACGAACCGAGTGCAGGTGTTTGGCGGGGGAGCCGCTGATTTGCTTTGCACTCTGTGAGACAAAGGTAAATGTCAGGTCGAGCACCTCCTCCCTGTGTTTCTCGTGCGAGACAACACAACAGATGTGCTCTCAAAGCACCGCGGCATTTTCAGGTCAGGTCACAGAGACCGCCCACGGGAAGGCCTCCGTCGTACTTCTACTTTGGAGTGGAGACAATGCCGAAGTTTTGTTGATGCCGCGCTTGGCAAATGTTGCATCTGCGAGTCCAAATGGCTGATCCTTCAGATAAGGTTGTTTTCTCGTTAACGTGCCAGATGCAGATCATGGCCTTTCCTTCTAGCGAAAGCGAGGCTCACCGCTAGCCCGGCAGTATATGCGGCGGGCGGGAAGACAGCGGGCTCACTGCATGGGACCAACTCACACTCGCGCGTCAGGAACGATGTTTGGAGGTTATGGGTACAATCTTTCGTCGTTGCGATATCATCGAAAGACACATGGGAACTTTTTTTTCAAATGTCACCTTCGATCAAAACAGATTTCCCTCCGAGTAAGCCGGCAGTGCCGATATATTATAGACTGACTAGCCTCACTCATCTATCATGTGGAGGTCTGATTTGATTCAGGGAGCTGCCGCTTGCCAATGCGATACACTCGCCCGCCGGGGAGGCATTAAAATTCAGGGGAGTTGTCCACGGAGGAAAACTTTGAAAGGAGAGATGAAAGATGGCGAATTTGCCTGTTGAATTACAAAACCAGGATCGATTTCGAATGTTTCCATAAATGTCTCCACAATCTTGTCAGACTTGATTTGATGTCACGGTCAATCCAATGAAAATCTCTATTCTTCCACTGGGGGAAGAAGCTATTAATGGCACCAGCTGCGCAAGTGGCTGCCCGCAAATGCCATTAAGACACAGCCTCCACTTCTTTTTGCCGTCCACATCAGGTGAAGTCATTATTTCGAGATGTTTGTTTACTTGCGATAACGCTATCTTCGCCGATCCAGACACAGAACAAAAGAGGAGGGAAGAGGGAAAATGCTAGTGTTGTGTAAGCTGCAAATCCGACTGAGACGTGGGAGCAGAATGATCATCATTGTAACATGAACAAACTGGATGAATTCATCTGTATCCTCGGTGCTCTCCGGCACATTCACTCTGACTGTCGTCTTTGCAAAAGGAAAAGATAGTCGTTGCTGTCCTCACATATTGTCTGATTGACAGCTACTGTAAACCGTCGGCTGATGAAAATCTTGTTCATAAAGAGATTTATTCCAGAAAAGGTTCCACTGTGGTCAAAGTGGAATCGACGTGTTCCTTCATGCACTTTGTATTGTTGAGGTTCTGTTTTTCTTGATCAGTGGCCTGGGACAAATGAAGACGACTTTGATGACCTCAATGTCGCAGGTCCGGTGGAAACCACCCTCCTGCGCACTAATGCGTCAGTCAGACGCTTGCAAATCCCTTCCGTCAGACAGCTTCCGTGTGACAAGATCCTCAAAGATAGCGTAAAATCAATTTGGGGGGAAAAGTTGAAACCTTCTAAAGGTGTGATCACAGTCCGAGGGCTGAGGGAGTGCATTTCAAACTCCAGTGGTGCTTCAGTGTCCACAAGGAACTGCTGACTGGTGTCTGGATGAGTCAGTACCGGCGCAGAGATCAACATGGCTTCTCCAGCTGTTGCCAAATGGGTCTTTGCGCCATCTATTCACAGCAAAACTGGAACAAATATGTCGGTTGATTCGAGGGAAAAATGTGCAAACACAATCCACTCCCCCACTCAATTAAACTTAATAGAGAAAAAAATGGTGATAACATTTGTGCAATATGTCTTTGAGAGACTAAACTAAAACATTAAGCAGCAGCTGTCAAGTAAATTCTGGCATGTAGTGCCACCTGCGACTGTTTTTTTGTTTTTTTTAAACTGTGCATCTGATTATATGAAACACTCTTCATGTTTCCATTTCTCTGGTAAAAAAGAATTCAATCCTCCCAATTTTGTCCCCACACAATGACCACAACAACTGGGTGTTATCACACAGTCAAAGAGCCTTTGGTACCAAGTGGACTGTATTTTTTCTTTTTTTTTTTGGAAATTCACCTCGGCTTGACCATGTAATCATTGATTCCTGACTTTATATTTTCAATTTAGTCCGATACTGTTATATAATGACATGGTTTCAGCCAATTTCTCTTCATTTCCCAAATGTTTACGTTTTGAACTGAGTCCCCACAAATGGAGATGTACTTGAAAACAATTACGAATGTGGAATATCAACTTGAGCAAAAGTCGCAATATCTGATCTCTGCAGTTTCTCACTTTGTTTCTCGATCTTCTTCGATTTTCTTCATCTGTGCATTCTTGCTGTCCTTCTCCGTCCTTAGGGTCACGGTTTATTTTGCTGCAGGGAAGTCAATTGGACGCCTCCGACTGGCTGAACCCGGCGCAGATCTTGCTGTACTACCAGCAGAACGCCAGTGGGCCGTGGGTGAATGAACTGTGTGGGCGACGCCTGCTGGACCCATGTGAGCACCAGTGTGATCAAGAAACAGGTGAGCCTTAGCATTAGCACGGCATGATTTATGCTTTGAGCCACTCGGAACACACTCGCTAAAATTGAGGAGGAATTACAGCCCCTGCATGACGACGCCGGTGTATTTGGAACATTGTACCCTTCTGGAATTTCATGCAATTTGGAGGAGATGTTGTCAAATCCTGTCCAGGACACTTACTGGAATGGGGCCAGGAAGGTGTTTGCCCAAGCATTTGGTCGCTTTGTGGAATGGTGTCGGTATTTCTTGATGATGGCGAGTCTTGAATTTTCGGTAGGCACCTTGTCTTCCGAGCGCACCGCTGACGACCGCTGGAGAACGAATTGGGTGCCAACTTACGTTGCCGAACTCAACGGGCTCTATTTAAAATTTTGCTCGATACTCTTCCGTCATATGGGCGTGACGTTGGTTTTCATGTAATCATGGAATTCCCGGATGCCTTCAAGCCAAATCATATGAAGCTCCATCAAGACGTTTTCATAAAACACAACTGGTGCGATGCTGTTTAATTTTGCCATAAGGGGCATGGCAGGGATTAATAAGTGCATTGGGCGATGCCGAATAAATGTGGCCGGGCTGCTGCGAGGGAGCTTGCCTTTGAATGACCAGTAATCAGATATGGGAGAAGAAAAAAATCAATCCCCCCCCCAAAAAAAAGTCAAATGTATGATCCTCCACCCTCACATGCCATTATCCCACACTTCAGACGTGAAGCAACCGAATGTCATGTTTTCTATTCAAGCCAAGCAACCAACCGCATTCGACGTCCAAACGATGAGAAGAGTGTGCCGACAAAACAGAATTGCCAAAAATGGTGTTGTTTCATGAGCTCGTCATCCCTCTCCGCCAGTGCTTCTATTTTGATCTTGGGCTGAACTGTGCTCCCTGTGAGGCAGAATGAGATATCCGTAACCTATCTATTATACATCTGTTGTGCAGCAGAGGTCGACAAAACATTTTGGGTGTAAATGCCGCTTAATTCTGCCAGGGCAATTAAAGATAGAATACTTCATAGACTGCCGTTGATTGTTCATGACCTTCGTTCAGCGAGCTGATTATTTAGTGATGAATGAATTCCTCATCTTTTCAACAATAGGTGAAAAGTGTCTTTGTTTCTGGAGACTTTGTCTCCATCTCATTTCGCATTTTATGTTTTCCTATTTCGCACTTCTCCCCAATACTGTATGGAGCTGTGATAAAACCGCCGCGTATGTGTTCCCGCTCGCCTGGACGGTTGCATGTGCACGTGCGCGGGTGCTGCAGGGAGGTTGCTGAGTCGCTACGGATAGCTTAAGTCCAATCCTCTTTTCTGCAAGACAAGATACCGATGAGAGCCGAGATGCGCCGCGGCAACATCTGTGCTGCTTTTGCGATCCGTGAAAGAAGATGGGGGATGCTTGAACACATGGGGCCTCCTTCACTGCAGAACTTGAAACCAGGTTATTTGGGGTACCGATGCCATTTGGGCTCACGGCCATCTTTATTCTAGCGTGGCGGGCCCGGACGCGCGCGTATGTTTGTGCTATTCGACTTGAAATAAGGCTGCCTCACCGATATGTTGGTGCACGTTTGCAAGCTCTTCTCCACCAATTCATTGAATTCCTTCTATTGTCTGAAGGTTACGTTTTTTATTTTTACAATACTCATAACATTGTCATACAAATACATGAACGACTTGTCCCGGCATATAGCAAAACACGTCATCAGATTACAGGGACACTTATTAAAAATGTGGTTATTTTACAGGATTACATTTATCATGTGCGGAGACGGTGCAGTCGCGTCCGCAATTGCTCTCAAACTTGTTGGCCAAACAAGCTTTTTTGGAGTGGATAACTGGACACAAAAGAGCGCCACGGACCGCGCCTCAGGTTGTTTCAAGTTTGATGTCAGCCAGCCATGAAATGAGACAGGCCAGTGGCTGTATGGTTTTGCTACAGCAGCCCCAAAGTCCACACCCCAATTCCACTCGCCATGTTCTCCTGTTGACGAATACGCGCTGGCCAAAACCAATCCCCCCAAACCGTGGACGGTTACCTTGCTTTTCGGCGCGTGGCGTTTTCATTCAAGGTGTTTTTGCATTTTGAAGCTCCTCTTTGTTTTGCTTTTGTGTTTCCATCAGCTTTGTTTTGTTTGGTCAGTGTTTTCTGTTCAAGTCCACACCCCAATTCCACCCGCCATGTTCTCCTGTTGATAGACGGTTACCTTGCTTTTCGACGCGTGGCGTTTTCATTAAAGGTGTTTTTGAATTTTGAAGCTCCTCTTTGTTTTGCTTTTGTGTTTCCATCAGCTTTGTTTTGTTTGGTCAGTGTTTTCTGTTCCATGGATGATTTCTGTTATCCATACAGAGTTCTAAAATTTGCAGAATTTACCAGATGGTGTAGAAGTTGGTGCTTTAAATTGGGTTGAAGTGGTTGACTGTCAGATCTTTGTCCCGCTGAGCAAAAAAGACGCTTTCTCATTGAAGCTGCTTTTATCCTGTCTGGAGGAAAATCAAGACCTGGATGGCACTTGAGTTTCTCCAATTTCAATGAAAAGAAGCCAGAAGCGCTGATGTTTGGTCCCAGTGGCCCTCGTCCCTCCCATCCTGCCGACTTGGGCCCCCGGCCCCTTATCTGAAGCCAACAATCTCTTCAACTTGAATCTGACATTAGACAGTGATTTTGAATTTGAGCGGTAAATTAGAACCGTTGTCAAATCTTTCATCTGTGGCAGCCGGCCAAAGTCAAGCCTCGACTTCGGTGAGGACTTTGAGATAGGAGTCATTCACACCTTTGTCACATCTCGGCATCTGGATGTTTGTCATGCACTTGACTTTGGAGTCAGCCAATCCTCCATGAAGCGTCTCCAGTTGGTCCAGAATGCC